AAAAGAAATATTATTTTTAACTCTGTATACTTTCAATAGAGACGAACAAATCAGTAAACTTCTCTAATAGAGAATATTTATTCATTTAAAAATTACTGAATGAGAATCGAAATTAATTAATTAAAATATTTCTTATTTATGTTTGATAGATAAAATAAAGTTGACTTGAAAATCATTTGTAGTTAAATATCTTTATTCTTATGAAGTATTTTAATATCAGAATAGATTAATCAATATGAAATGAATGTGATAATTAGTTTTTTTTCTTTTCTTGTTGTTGTTAAAATAATTGTTTTTGCTAATGTTTCTTTGAAACAATGATAAAAAATAAGATATACATGAAAAAATAAAAATAAAAACAAATGATAATTGTTATGAATCTTCTAATTTTCCTGTCGATATATCGACTAGTTTTGGATAACGTAAAGATTTCTTATCTAATTTATCTTCAATATAATCAACCATTTTTACAAGCATTGATAAATCTGATTCTGATTGTTGATTTTGATAAATAAGTAAAGCATTATTTATTTGATTGGCAATAATTTGTCGATGTGATGTTTCCATTAAATAACCATATGGAGATTCTAGTGGTTTATCAAAAACTAATAATGCCATTGTTTTTTCTAATTCTTGTCGCATTTTAATATCATCTTCAGCAAATTCAGCTAAATGAACTTGTGCATATGTCAAAGCTTCATCAATTAAATTTAAACGAATTAATTCAATTAAACTTTGTTGCTAAAAAGAAAATAATCAATTTAAATTCTTTCATCTATGAGAATTTTATTTTTATTAACAATTGTTTATTTCCTACAGAAACTAACTTATTATTATTTTCTTTAGTCAAATTCTGTTTTTATAGTTTGTTTTCTCGACTAGGAATTTTTATTCTTTTATTTTACATTCTCGAAAATAATTCGAAACGAATCAACAGAACGAATTATAAAATAAATATTAATCAATTATTATATGATTTATCATAAGTAAATAACAAGCATTTTTCTTGTTGATTAAAAACTTTTCTGTTATTTATTGAACAATAGCAAGTTCATCTTTTCTTAGGTATAATATCTGCGAATATATTCTACTTTTTAATTATTGATGTATCATTCTCTGCTGATTAGTTCATTTTACAACATTCGTATATAAAACAATACTAGCTATTTGATTAGAAAATACATTTGAATGTGACCTTGTTTTTTAATTCGGATATTTACTTTTAATAGAAACATTTAAATTTGAATCTAATATGAACTTAACGAGTTCTGTTATTTTCTTTACAATGATACTCATATGCAGATAGAATTGTGACAAATAATTTTTTTATTTTTAAATAAAATGAATAAGAATAAAAAGGACTCTATCAAAATAATCCTGTATATTGAATATTGTCTTAGACATTTGACTTCTTAGAATACTGTAGATTCTGATAAATTATCGGTAATATTTTAAAAATCAATTATGATTGTCTTAACTGTAATTCTATGACAATGTTTCTTTTCATAAAAGATGATTTTCGATAAAAAAAAAACATACTGTATCTTCTATTGAATATTTCTATAGTAATGACGACTGAAATTTAAAAAGTTCCGAAAAAAAAACTAAATTCATATAAATGAAAGAAAAATACGAATTTCACTCATAAGTAAAGTTTTTCTTTTTGTGATATTTCAAATAATCTAATGTTATCTATCAAAATCATATTTAAAAGAAAAAAAAACAAAATTTATTCTAATAAAATATTGATTATATTGAATTACTTTTAAATGAAATCCTAATTCTTTATTTTGATCAAGTAATTCAGGTGCTTTTTTATTAATTAAACAAATTGCATCTTGAATTCTTCCAGTTTCAATTGCTTCACGAATCCTTAAACGTTCATCAACTAATGTTAAATCAACATTATTTAATGATATTCCAGCTTCCTCAGCAAATATTTCAGCTGCATCTTTAAATCCTTCTATAAGAGATAAAAAATTTCTCTTTTTCAAAATATTTAATTTGTTTTTTTTTTACCCGTAATAAGATAATTAATAATCAATCGATTTAATGTCGATCTTTCTAAATGTTGTTGTTCAATAGCTTCCATCCATTCATTTTTTGTTTCTATGTGATGAACTGGTGTTAAAATATGACTTTCACATGTTGATGAAGCTGATGATGTATTCGATAAAGCCATTGCTGCTGCTATAGCTGCCTAATTTTTAATTATAAAATTAATTACAAAACAAAATAAGAAGAAAAATAAACAAACTTGAAAAGGATGTGCAAAATGTGCCTGCATTTTCGTTTGATCGTCGAGAAAGTGAAATAATTATGAAATGAATAAGGCACAAATCGAAGATTTGTTGGAAGGATAAAATATGGCAAACTCTAATGGACAAATATCTTCACCAATACGAAATGATCATCAAAATCAATACTCAACAAACAGCGCCATCTCATATTAAATCACATTTTGTAGAACATGTAGTATGAAAATTATAGAAAAAAAAGTTTTTAATAGAATATTAAAAAAGTTCTTGAATAAAATTATGTGTAAAAGAATGACGAATGACTTTCGTTGTGTAAAAATAGTTTACCTATTATTCATTAACGTGATCATATATAAATATTTTCTCGATTTTATTTCTTTGTCATCAAGTTGAAATGATAATATTTTATGAATTGATGATTCTTGATAGATCGGTTTCTATAATATCTTTGATTAATTTTCTTATATTAATGTAGACCCATTATTAATTATTTGACTTCAGAAAAAAAAAATTCAATGTTCCGCTAAGTAATATTTCAATTTTTGATTTTTCAGTCAATATCTTTGAGTTAGGTGTGGCTGTGTATCTTCTCTTCATCCATAATCATAATCACAGCCTCAAGTATCTGGACATTTGAAAGAGCATAGTACTTCTGCTGTAACAATAACACCAACTATCTCATCTCAACTTCAACCTATTGCAACTGTCAATACACTTCCATTACGTGCTAGAAATCTAGAAGAGATAATAAATTACCGACTTGAACAATGAAACTAACTCAAACAATAATAAATAAGTAGAATTACTTAATACAACAAAATCTGCGTTACTTCAACATGAGTTAGAACTCCAACATACGATCAACTGAGTCGGCTGAAAATTAATTTTGAAGAGCTTAAAATGTTACGACCTACCTGTGTGTGTGAATCACGTCACATTATGGCAACTATAGGCGATCTTGAAGAAAACTGTCTCGTCCGTTCTTATCTTCATTCATCCTAAGGGATTGAATACAAAAAAAATCTAAAGTGAAGATGAAACTTTGTGAATGTCACATGAGAGGACAGACACTCCAACGTATACTGAGGTACAATAAATTGTTCTAGTTACCAGTGGTAAACAGAAGCACTGAATGAATCCTATATCTATGTTTATATGTATGTATGTGGTGTTACAGTTTTTTCATAGTGCTTTGATCATGTCGAGTAAATCAACGAAACTTCGACAATTAAAGTGATAAATAACTAAATAATGAAGTTTAAAGCTGCTATTAATACTATTATTATCATCAAGAAAGAGTGAATTTCATGAGTCTGTTCATTTTTGGCAAGAATGATGATCATACATATTGTGTAATTTATTTCGTATCAAAACTATTCAAATTGCTAGACGTAAAAGTTGACATCAGGTTAACGTGGTATGACGTTACAGTGAATTAAAGGAATTGCGAGCGATGTATGTTGAACGAGCCCTGCAGTAGGATAGAGCGTGTTGGAATTATTGTCATCGTTACTGTCATTGCTAAATACATCAGAGCAGTTCTGAATATCCTTGACTGGATCGACATAGGACAATCAACATTGGCGCAGAAATGTAGAATTAGGATAGGTAAGGAACATATACCACTAGACTACAGCAGCCAATAATTCGACTAGGATATGGCCATGTACATACTACGCCTTAGCAGATGTGTTCTTGTACCGGTTGAAAAGTTATACGATATTGCAATCCTATGGTGCGAATGAATATGTGTCTTTTATACCTCAGATCATTGTTTGACAGCTCTAATAATATAAGTCCGATAGAACTTTGAGGGTGGATGGGTGTGGTCTGTGTTTTGTTGAACGTGAGGGTATGAGTCTTCTCTTCACTAACACCGTCACTCACATATCCAATCTCTTTCATCCTTCTATGTAGACAACATGAAAACGCTTGAAACGATTTAGAAAGTATGGATAAATAAGTCAAAGTGCACAAAAATGAAAAAAGGCGATTACAAGACTATTTTTCTAGTATTATATTGCATGTTTCCTGAAAATTATAACTTCCTCGTAACGAGGAGCATAGTAAGATAGTACATGAAAAATTGCATCTTTCTATACATATTTCAGAGAGCAACAAGATCAAATGGCAAAACAATATCACTCAAACAAGATGTGTATACCATACTTGACCCTGAGTTCGGCTACGAAGGCTATGGATGAGAGTATAAGTGAATTGAAGACTCAAACACATATTCACCTTTACTCATACATCTCACACTCAAAATGAATAAATTTGTAACAAGAACATTCAATTATAATTATTTGCAGAAATTGATAAAGCCATAAAAGAATTATTCAATAAGGCAATGGAAATTTCTTGAAACCATTCGATTATCTATTAGTCAGAATTACTCTTCCTTTCAAAAATTGTTTATGTAATACTTCCGTGATTTATTAATCATACGATTTTATATTTCAAAATTCATCTTTTTTAACTCACTCAAATTCATTTCCTTCGAAAAGCAATTTCACTAAAGAAATTATTTGATATACGTCATTATTTGAAAATGTCACATTTTTTTTCCGAGAGATAAAAAGCAAATTTTATTTGTTTATTCTTTTTCTACGACATAGTATCTTCAAAAGAAAAATCTTTTAAAACAAAAAAAATATATTTAATTTATTTTAAATATAATATAAAAAAAAGAAATTCGTACAAGAAAAATTTCATTTAAAATAAATGAAAAAATAATTCATCTTATAAAATTTCTGGTTCAAGTTCTCGTGATAAATCATTTTGTTGTTGTTTAATTTTATTTGTTGTGGGTACATCTGGCAATGATGTAATTACCGGCGTATCTTCTTTAGCTAATTCATTTAATTCTCTTTCCAAATCATCATCATTATATAAATCCGATATTCCTGATGGTTGTGTTGATAATACATTTGCAATTTCATCAGCTAAAAATGAAGAATAAAAATAAGTTTATATTTAATAAAATAAATCTTTACCAATTTGTTGTTGTTCAGTTAATTCATCCTTTAAATCAAGAACATCATCAGCATCTAAATTTTGATTAGCTTTTTTTAAAGCACCAGCTGCTTGTCTCATAACACGTAAAATTTCCATATTACTTGATGCATTTTGTAAAGTTTCTCGTTGAATTTCTAATGTTGTTAAAGTTCCATCTATTTGAATTAAAGCTTTTTCATATTTTTTCTTTCGTTTTAAAGCCATTAAAGCAGCACGTTTATTTCCTTGTCTTGAATAAAGTAATGCATTACCTTTTTCAACTTCAATTTGAGATTCGAAATGTTCTTGTTTTTTACTAAGAATTTCTTCAACATTGGATAAACGTTGTATAGCTTCATTAGGTGATATTTGATTTGGATCTTCTTTATTTGACCTACCGAATAAACGTTGAAAGACACTCATTGGTATAGTTTGACTAAATTATATGAAAGGAAAAAAGTGAAATAATATTAGTAGAAGTAATGATGACTCATTTGTTATCATCGAAATTTGTTTTTTCTTTTTGAAAATTATTTCTATGCATTACTCATTTATTTATTTCTGTTTATTAAATTTAATTTCATATAGAACTAAATTATATGTGAAATTTTATTTAAGGTACAACAAACTATCCGAACATGAAAATCAAAATTTTTTCAATTTTCTTTTTGTTTTTCATTAATATATGAATATATTTTAAAGTGTCCTCTATCGATCTGTAAAAAACACAAACTTCTTTTAACAGCATTTTGACCTCGAAAAGAATGACTTTCGTGACGTTCTTATCTAAAAACAAAACTCGACTTTTTATCTTTTGTCAAAATATTGCCCCTCTGAGTTTGGGCTGCTTGTAATTATCTTATTTGTAGCATTGGATTATGTTAGAGTCGCACGTCGAGATGCATGAAACATCATTCGACTTCAGTTTGAGATCGCTAATCGAGTTTATTCGAGAAACGATCAATATGATGAAATCGAAAATTTTCGACTTGAGACTTATTTTTTATATTTAAGATTATTCCTAATCGTTGATTGAGGAGTCAGTATCTTCAGAATTATTTATTCTTATTGTTTAATTCTTCCGTCGACTGTTTCATTTCTTCTGTTAATAATAAAAGAGAAATATAATCAACAAGAAATATATTATTTATGCACGAATATTTAGAGGAGAATCGACATTTAATTTTGTTTTGCGTTTTTCTCACAATCAAATTTTATATAAAACAACTACTATTTCGTTCCTGTTTGTCCGACATGTCGAGCGGCATCGAACTGAAACTTTTTTCACATATTGAGTGTGGGCATTTTTTTTTATTTCAAAAACTATTGTTCTGATAATTTGTGACAGCTTTCACAAACTTTGTTCTAAGAAAAAACTCAAGTGTTTTTTTCGGTACGTCCGGTATTTTGACTTTTTTATTGAGAGGACAAACCATATAAGGAAACCAAAAAAAAAACATCCACTTCAAATAGTGTCCAGTAGGTGTAAAAATATTTTGAACTGGATCGAGCGTAGTATCTCGGAAAAGAAGGACGAAGCGAAAGGAGAGATCACTTTAATCAATTGCGAACCCACTGTCTCATCAAAATTCTTCTGATGAGTGGTTCTCCAGAAACTCTGGAAAGGAGGGGGACGCACCGTTAAGGCCCCCAAAAAAAGGTTGCTTTTCGTCAGAATCATCGAAATTGAGATAAATCCATGTAGAAATAGCTCATCATCTACTCTTTCATACGCGCCAAAAACTTTTATTCGGCATCTCTTTTTTTTCAAAAATTTTTCAAGATTTTCATCACCTACTATTCGAAAAACAAGCTGTTTTTACAAAAAACTGAAAATCATTTTTCGTTTTTCTCAGAATGTGGATTCAACGACGTAGAGCCAGCAGAACTCTATCATAGTCAAAGATAAAGTCAAATATTTTTTTTGTTTCAAAACTTGTGTCTAAGACTAGCCCCATCGTGGCCCTTTTTTTTAAATAAGTCTTTTTATTATTATATAAGAAAACAACTCTATAAAAACAGTGTCATTTCTTTTTAGAGTTTTTTGAATCATTAAACTTGTCATCCCTTTTTTTCGCTTAAAAAGTAAGAGTTTAAAAACAGAACCACGAGAGAGGCTAGCCCTAGACACAAGCTTTCAAACAAAAAAAAATTTTAATGTATAAAATGAAGGTCCACAGAGCAATCTTGGTGCTACGATAGAGTTATTTTTAATCCTTGTTTGGTGAATATCTCTGTCGAACGTTATGATATATAGCTGAAAGTTTTACCGTAGCCATCGCTCACCAGCTCCAACATATCCTGAAAGTTTCATGCAGTTTGGATGTTCCTGGGCTGAGATATGTTTTTTCAGGAGGCCTTAAGCGATCGTTATCTGTGATCAACATTAATGTAAACAAATTATAAGACATCAAATGATTAACATATACTAAGAAAAGTATGCAGATATTTGTAAAATTATTTCATTCAGTATTTTGTATAAACTTCATCAATTTTATATTGTAATGATGATTAACATTATTAACATCTAAGTGTTAAACTTATTGACTTTTAACGTTAAATTTGATTTTAGAACAAAAAAAAAAAAACATAATTTTTTTTCTGGTTAAAATATTCCAAATAAAATGTTTTACTGATAGAATCAAAATGAATATATAGGAAAGAAGATTTCAAACAATGAATAACCAAATAGAGATGTTTGTTAATTCATAAATACGATAAAAAACTGTTTTTTTTCTTTTCAATAGATAAATATGCGCAATGAATGTTCGATTGTCTATTCACTTATTTGAAAATCCATGAACAAAATACATTGAATTAATTATGAAGACACTTAAAATAAGTATATTCGATTGAATATGATATCGATTAATAGCTTGATTACATAATTTTTTGTTGCAGCAATAAATTTCAAGATCAGAAATTCGAACAGTAGTATCGTTACTAACAACAACAGAACTTTCTAGATCTTGTGGACAACCAGTAGAACTTACATTTCGAACAGTAAATTTATGACCATTACTAAGTTTACCAATCATTTTCTGTAATTAAAAAGTCAATTTTTTAAATGAATTTAAATGTAATACATACTGTACAAATTGCATCTGAATCTCGACTACCGACTCTCGAAATAGATGTTCCATTATTATTGAATTTGTCTTGACAACCAGTTGTGCCCACGTTTGTACTTAAACAGAAATAACATTCTAATGCACTGACACGATGAATTTCTTATAAAATAAAACAAAATGAAACTTTGTTATTTGATCTATGATTTGAAACCTACCGTTACAGAATATTAGGTATATTAGACAAAATAGATTTGCTTTCATGATTGTGTGAAAAAGAAAAAGATGAATGACAGTAAGTAGCGATCAGAAACTTGATATTTTATAAATAGAAATAATACGAAAGATTTTGTAATTAATATTGCACGATGAAAGTGTATGCTATCAGATTTGTCTTTTTCGTTTCTTTGTTTTTTTTTCTAGTTTTAACGTGAAGGAAAGAGAAATACATTTGTATTTAACTAATATTTTTTTTTACTCTCAAATGATTGATTTTATTTGTTCTACTTAAAAAAACGATTTTGTTTTGTAAAATACCATCAATAATGATGTAAATAATTCTTATTGATTATCAGTATTTTCTTTCAAGTTTATTAATTGTTCATTTCTATTTGAAATTATTTTTTCTAGGGAATATTGAATTCATAATATGATATTATGATCAAGAAAATGTAATCAAATTTTGCTTATTTAATTCTATTGATGAAATGATTCACTACTTTATGTTATTATTTAGAGATTGATAGAATCATTTGTCTAAGAAATAATAAATTAATTTAATAGATGATTGACTATGAGTGGATGTACAGAAAATAATAGAAAATATTTTAGTTTTGAACATACAATTTAATGAAAAATTCTAAAAACTTATTAAAACTGATTGAGCATGTTTGTATATTTCGTATAAACACGTCAAAATATTTCCGAAGACATGTTTTTTCTCTCATAATAAAGATCCTTACTAGCTGAAACATGTCTCAAATAATAAAATACATCGATCAAAGTCTGATCGATGTGACTCTATGAAAAAAACTTGATTAGAAATCCACGTTTAAGGAGAATCCACTCCTTTGGTGGCATTGTTAGAGAACAGCTCATCAGAAAATTTGAAAAGTTCTATAGATCTGGATGAGTAGAGTAAAAGTTGTTATAGCCTCAACATTTTCGGATGTTTCAACATAGATGATATTTGGATCTCAATGGCGAAAAAGTGACCTTCGTTATCGTCTACTTTTTTCTGTTTCTTTTTAATCTTCTCCTGCACAACTAAAAATGCCAAAATCCTAAGAGTACCCTCAAATATGCATGTTATTTTTTAAGTGAAGCTTTTTTTTTTGTAAACTCTGGTAAAAACCAGATGTATATCATAATTTGAAACAAAAAGACATTAGACATCATGAAAACTTTCTATTATGAATGGAGGAAAGTTTCAGATCTATCAGATGTACTGTTATTGAGAAACGGACTCGATTCTTTACTCTTCTGTTGCCAAAAAGTCTCGATTTCCAAAAATAGCGAAATAATGTGTATATTTTGATGTTTTTGGAACGAAAATGTTCCATCTTTTCTAGTTTTTATTAGTTACATTTAGTGGATATGTAAAATATGGTGGAACAACATTGTGCACTCGTTTGTGATGATAGAGATTCAAATTTTGACAATTGCAACAGTTTTTATGATGATTCAAGCGCTGAAATTTATTTCGAACATTGATGAATGTGAAAATGAATTAGTATGTTTATCGGCATATCATCAATTAGCATCCGAAGATGATAATAAAAAAAAAGAATATAATGAAAAGAAAACGATAGTCGAAAAAAACAAAGGAACTCACACTTGTTAAATGTTATCATCAACAACAAACTGGAAAAACTCAGTTTATGAAAAATTGAAATTCAATTTTAAGTCTTTTTTTTGTCATTTTTACTTTGTATTTGAAACATAATTATAGTGAACTGACTAAAATATAATAACGATATTCGATCCTTTGTGAATACGAGTTCATAGTAGAAGATCCGAGATCTTTGATTGGGTGGAGGTTGGAAAGTAAATTCGTCTAATTCTTTTACATGTCAAAAATCAATCAACTAGTTTTGTTTCATATGATAGACAACGGAGTAAAATTGTTATTAATACAGATCAAGTTTAGAAGTTATGTTAAAAAATATTAATTTTAAATGATATATAGAAATTCAAATTTTTCAAGTTTCTTGTTTTAAAATTGTTGACTTCTTCTATTATCATTTTATTAATATATTGTTCAAATATATCATTTATAAGATTTCGCCTAAGAAATTGTTAAAATACAGTTTTTTTTAGGGGATCCCTTAACAAAAGCATGTTCTCGAATAAATTTTGCATTGATCACTTCAATTGAAAATATTATTCTTGCATCGGTTTGATCAACAAATTGTTCAATAATACTAACAGAAATATTACAATACAAGTATTAGTACCTCAACCGATAATATCTTGATCTTTATTATATCGAATATTTCAATAGTCTCTCATCCCATGCTCAATTGTTTAATGACAAGAAGGTAATTTAAAGAGAGCAGCTAAGAAAAAAAGTTTCAAATAAGACAACCCTGGAATAATAGCTGGTTGATTAACTGGTCGTAATACTCGATTGCGATGAATATATAAACTATCCCCAACGAAAGTTCGTTGCATCGAATAACGATTAATAGTAACTGATTAATTAGATGCTACACCTTCTTTTAGTAAATGCATATTTTGTTTAGCGATATAAACATATCGATAGATATTGTGGTTAAACTAATACATCAAAGATTGAATCACTTTCTCGAGTGAGGGTGTGGGAGTGAAGGTAAGTACCTATGAAGAGAACTTCTTCGCCTGCATCTCAAATTTTCCCGACGGCTTTATAAGATGCAAGAGATAAACTTGCATAGTAGAATGATCTTAACTACCGTTCAAGGTCAGATCAAGGACTTGAAAGGGCTGATGATAAATTTGGTGACAATATGATTGTCACCTTCATTGTGTGAAAGATATTTAATTAATAGATAAAACCACACGAGTAGACACAAAGGAACTTGAATTGGAGCAGATGAAGCAGAATAAGTGTGCTCGATATAGAAAGAACTTCGTACAAGATTGAGGTCTAGTATTAGAAAGTTATGAAAACAAAAGAGAACGGACGACCTATATTAATATCTAGAAGAAGAGAGATCGTGAAGAGTCCATTTAGATTGTTTTAAATATTCCAACAGGCTTTCTGACTCTCACACACTGTTTTACTTTCGGATCCGACAGAATCTTAGAGTTACAGTACTCGTCTCAGGTTCATAAGATTATCCGAGATACTTATCTATTGTCTCACCATCAGTTACTTTTCATTACTCTCTACTTAACGATGCAAAGTAGCAATGGACAATCATCATCATTACTGAAATTTTTGTAATGGCAGCAGATAATTTTCTATAGTTTGTAAATCAAGCAATGCATATTGCTTTGTTCCTGCTAATATATAGCTTTTTCGTCTGAAGTTTATTTTGTTGAGTCATTCGTAAAACAAAAAATATTGATTACTAAGATTTTTTTTTATTAAAGATGGCAAAAAAATAACTCATATAAGGACGTCTCTAGAACAAATAAATATATGTTGACATAATATAGGAAGCCATGGTCTTCTGTTATCAAGAATAGACACAAAAAGATACATTAGAGGATAAATTGAAAACGTTAATGTCTTATGTTTGTACGTCTCATAATATCTTCAACATTTAACTATAAGTTCGTCGAGACAGTTTGTGCCACAGAAGAAGCAATATGATCAGCCAGATGGAGAGACTGTTTCCTCCTTCGTATTGTTGCTTAACATATCTACAACAGGTACTGTTCCAACATCGTCAATATCGTTTGGTTTGATACCGACTATCTTTGATGTCTGCAGCAAATAAGAAGCGATAATATTAATCTGATGAAAAGACTCTTTCTCTGACCTTATTTTTTTCCAATGCAGAAGCAATATGTTTCATCCAATTCTCTCCGATTCTATTGAATTTTAGATAGAGTATCGTCAGTGTCTATATCAAAGAAAAAACAAGAGATAAATCAATCAGATAAAGGTACTCTTTTTCTCACTGTATTGTTTTCTAATGCATCTGCTAGATGCTTTGCCCCATCATCTTCAATATAATTTGATCCGAGATGGAGTGATATGAGTGTCTGTATAAAAGAAGAAACAACTAATATGTAGCATAGATAAAGTCCATTGCAAAGAAAGCACGAACGGTCGTCATCAAACGCATCTTTCGATGTATGTATATATAACGAGAGTAAACGGTTTTTTGAGATTTATACGGGACTATGATCTTAATTTATCTTCAGAAATCGAGCAAAAGATCATTTTATTCTTGTAGGAATGTATATGAGACTGTTATTATCTTAACATCATAATAACACGAAATACAAGAATTCAATGAAGACTTTAAAAAAGAGTGACAAGCATAAAGCACCAGACACCCACACCCACGTATACAGTCCGACGCATTGCGTGTAAATAAATCACAAGAAAAGACTATATATATATATATCTCACCTTATTATGTCGTAATGCGTTAGCCAGGTGCTGTGCGCCATCATTTCGGACTGCATTCGATCCAAGATGAAGTGTTGTGAGCGTCTGTATCGAAGAAAAAACAGTACACCTAACGTAAAGAGAAGTTTATTTTTCATACCGTGTTTATAGTTAGTGCATCTGCTAAATCCTTTATTCCATCATCAAAGATGTTATTTGATGCAAGATTCACTGTTGTTAATGTCTGTATTCAAGAAGACACAATACCATCAAACAGATGAAAATTCTATTCTTCTCACCGTATTGCATTTTAAAGCATCAGCCAAATGTCTTACTCCAACATTTCCAATCATATTCCATGCAAGATGAAGTGTTTTAACTGTCTGCATCAATGAAGAAACAATAACATCAGTCAGATGATAAGGATTGCTGTTCTTACCATGTTGATTTTTAATGCATCTGCTAGACACTGTACTCCAAGATCTCCAATAAAATTCCATTGGAGATGGAGTGCCTTGAGAGTCTACGTCAGAAAATAAACAAAATTATATCAGCTGGACCAAAATTATTTGTTGAGTAAAGGTACTCATTTAAATCACTTCTGTATTTGAGAAAATAGACAAATATATACTTAGTACTGGCCAAATCAAATACACGTATGTTCATATTTAAGTATTTGACTTAGCTCTTGGATTTATATTCAAATGGAGATTCAGTA